CTGTGTGGGTGGGTGAACCTTTGTGGTATATTGGCTTGGATTTATGCTTTATTTATAAAGCGGGGCGAAAGCCTTTTTCGATAAGGGCCTCCGCACCTCCCACGTCGCCGTCAGCGCCACAAGATCAGCCACCGGTGCTCACGTCGCTGAAATCGCCGCACCGGATGAATCAGGGAGGAAAGAGGGAACGAGCTAGGTTTTCGGCCAACAACACTTTTGTTTCGGGCTTTCAGCCGAGAGCGTCTCAGAGCACCAGACGGGCTGCGGCGGCTTCACGGGCCAAATTCTGGCCATGGGCTGCTGGCCAGGATATCACAATCCGCTGGATTTGTTTTTTCCTTCTACACGTTTTTTGCTGCTGGCCTTAAACTGTAACGGGCTGCCGTAGGTCTTCTCGACCGAAATTATGCTTTCGGGGCGTTATGTTTACCAGTGTATTTTCTATGACTAGCAAAAATGCCCGTGCTTGCTACGGGTGATAAATCTTTATATACAGAGTTAGACGGATAAACATAAGGCCCCGAAAGAATAAATCTTTGTTATTTTCCTCCTCCCCTACCTGTCACACTCCTCTCGTATCGTCGCACCCATGGCTTAAATATTTTCTTTTCTCTCCTCTCCATCTGTTTCTCTTTTTCTAAAATGAGAAAAAAAATTAGCAGCGCGAGTCCGGCCCAACTCTCCTTCTCTCTCTCCCCAGTTTCCCATCCAGCTCAGCTAGCTGCCTGCCGGCCCAACTGCTGACGTGGCCCACCTAAATCATACATATGCCCGTGCGTTGCAACGGGAAAAATCGCAAAACCTACAGCTCCACCCCCTATATGAAAATTAAATTCAGAAAATACCAGAAATTTTGAAAGAATCTAAATCTTGGGATCCCAAATTTGGGTGTCTAACCTACTACCATATGAAATTTCATAGAAAAATACCAAGAAATGTATCCGTGGCAAAGAAAGAACTAAAATTCATCCAAATAGTTTTTTCTATACATAGGTTTTTTTTTGTCTTTTTTGCCACTGACATGTTTTCTGGTATTTTTTCACAAAATTTCACGCGAACGTAGATTGTATACCCAGGTTTTATATCCCAAAAACCCAGATTTAAAAAAAAATCTCGGTACTTTTTTGAACATAATGGGTGTGGAGCACCCATGAGCGCATATGTGCTCCTGTGTAATTCCCATAAGGTTACCCTCATCTCTAGTGACATTGTGAAAGTAATGCTATTGTCACCATGTATAGTAGTATAATTGTTCGTGCGTCGAAACAAAGTATAAATATTCTAGTTGTTCAACATTAATCATGTCAAACATAAAATCCTCATACACATCAAACAACATGTTGATAATAAATCAAGATGTTTCATCTATGAGAAAAATAACAAACTTCTTGCTTAGGTGAACCGAGCAAGCTACATATGAAAAATGGTGTAAATATTACGACATGTAACGAATGAGACCAATCATTTAAGTATACTTTCCAATGTGTTATGTAAAACATTTCAAATGGCATGAAACAACTAATTCAAGAACTGGCGCCATATTACAAGCTATACCCTTAATTCAGTCTGATCGTATTTTGTAAGTTGCACAACAAATATTTCTTGAGAACTTGCAAGTAATTGTAATGATTATAATCTAGAGAACTATCGTGTCGTATCAAAGAAAAAAAATTCAATTTTGTTAGGGATAAATGATAGCCCTACATCCTGGTATCTAGCTATTCATCTGAGATGGGCTCAACAACCATCTGTGAAGACCATTGAAAAAAGCGGCAGGCTTCTGAGCAGTATGGGTGGATAACGAATAAGCAGCACAACGTTCATGAGTATGTGTGCTCAACTTCTGAAAAATCCATACATCATGTCAATGTTAATACACCACAACCATAACCATGAGTATAAGCAAAAAAAAACATCTAGAAAAATAGTTAAAGCCAGAAAGAAGTAACATGTCAGTGTGTGTGATGAACTGAGGGCATCAATCAAATCTGATATTATTCTAATCTAAATACTACATGAGTAGACATAGTAAGAAATTCTAAAGACACTTGACTTGAAGTAGCCTCTGCAGGCTTGTCAGTGTGGATTGCACACGGAAAATGCCATGCTCTACCTGTCCAGTAATTAACCATCTGCTTGACAGGACGAAAGACCATCTGCATGACAGGACAAAGACCATCTTCTTGTCAGGACAAAAGGATCTACTAATTGTATCAGGATAGCATTACTATACCACCAATTCAATCAAATGGTCTCTGGTGTTGCACATCCAAATTACACTGGTTAATTGTAGCCTATGATTGATTGATAATGCAATTTAATTACAGTCTAGGAATGGGCTAAGAGTTGTGGTAGACTATTAGTTGGGCCTTGGAACTGTTCTCCTCGGAGCTGAGCTGCGCCGCCACGGCGGATAGGTCTTCCACACGCTTGGACACCCCACTGCCATCCAACAACAGGTGGTGCAGTGGATAGATGAGAGATCTGCACATGCACACGCATTTGCTAGGTCCAGTGCCAAGCGAGCTGGACCTAACCAACAAAGAACTCGCCAAAGACGTTCTAATCTGCCGACTAATCTACAACAAAATTCTAGAGTCAACCAAGAATTCTACCCTGCAGATGTTCACCAAACGATGTCTACCTAATATACTGCTCCCAAATCCAAAGGATATATTTTTCTAAATAAGAGGTATATTTAATGCAACACCAGGAAGAATGATATTGTTGCACATTGAGGGCATTCCTCATGGAAATCAATTAGTGTTAGTTCTGCAGGGTAGAATTAACACCAGGAAGTTCAGTGTTAGTGCTCAGAAGTTCAGTGAAGGCAGATTGAATAGAGATAAATCTGCAAACAATTAGGACCATATCTTGTGATGTTTTTAGCAAAATAACTCAAGAAAAAGATGATCCTGTCACTAAGCCGGATCTGAAATTGTCTCCAAAAGCCAAATCGTGCAACTTAAAAATCATGAGGAAATAAGTAGTACACGAAATCATGAGGTTAACAGGGTGTCAGATTAGACAGTATTAGTTTGTAAAAGATCTAATTCTAAAGCCATTTTTGAAAAATCATGAGACAAATCGTGCAACTTAGTTCAGTATTCATCGATCTGATTCTCCAACAAATATGAAAAAGCAATTCTAAATTGCTCAAAAATAATAATGAAACTCTTATTTGGTTGAGAATAAAATACCTTGTGACTTAGTACACAAAATCATGAGGTTAATAGCCATTTTCTCTATTTTAAGCTTCAGGTAACCTTCTGACGGGCAAATTGTAGATTGCAGGGTTGCATCAAACATTAACTCATCAGCAATAAAGGTGACATCTGAAAACATTAGTGATGATGCTGAAAATAGGTTCATTCAGAGTAACATGGACAAATTCTCGTTCTCTGGGAAACTGAACTCCTAGCATAGCCTATTTACATTGCCGCACATTTATCTCTCAACAAAAATGGCTATATCTTGCAAGGAAACGAGAGGGAGGGAGGTGACAAGGCCAATGGGACAGCTGGTCCAGGGCCATCCACGGGTGCAGAGAGGTAGTGTAAGTTTCATACCTTCAGGATGTAGGGAAGAAGTAGCATGCAGCATGCTTGAGGAGCTTGAGCTGGGAGTAGCATAAGTCCTTAGCTGCTAGGACGGGGAAGCAAGCCAAATTTAGGATCGCCAAGACAGCGAACAGAGAAATTACGGGGTGGATTGGGAAGGAGAGGAGAGGGAGGAGCAGTAGTGTACCAGAGGTCGTGGATGGAGGAGGGCGTGGGGAAGGCATGAAGTCGAGGATGTCGAATGACCTTCAGCCAGTTCCGGCCGCTGCAGGGCGTGCGAGTCCCCGTGGTCGGAGTTCATGACTCCCACGGCGGCGATGAGTCGTCGGAGGCGGCCAAGGTGGGCGTTTGCGCGCAGAACCAACCCCGTCTCCACCTGCAAGAACTTCGCGCCGCTGGGCCGGATCCATCCGTCTCCCGCCCCCATCTGCCGTCGCCCGGCTCCGGCGAGCTCCTTCTTCTCCACCTCACCTCCATATCTCCTATCTGCCCAGGAGCCGCCATGGATCCGCCCGAGAAGCCGCGCTCCGGCCTTCCTCGTCGTCAACGACGAACCCCGCATCGCCGCCCACCTCCCCAGCCGCTACCGCGCGCGGATCCGGACCCTGCAAGGTCCGGCTGCCGCCGTTCTGCATCGAGCTGCCGCTCGAGTCGCCGCTCGAGCCGCCGCGTTGACTCGGTCCCGATTAATAAAACAGGTGTATGGACCGCGGGCAATAGACCAAACTACAGGGTTTTTTGTGCAAAAACGAAACGTTATCCCATAGGGACTGCGGGTTGAATACCTAAAACTGTAGGGACTTTTCTGCAAAATCATCGATGACGTACAACCAGAAGCGATCCGTGGTTTAATAGTAGGTAAAGATATGACCCTTTTCTGTTTCTAAGGAGTAATGAACTGTTTAAGTGAGACAAAAATGTTCCATAAACTATGTCAAGGTACATTTAAAGATGAGAAATATTTATAGGTATGCCGCGGGTTATTATGGGCTAAAATTATGTTCTTTAGGCAAAAAAAAATGATGCATTTGATTTATGTTATTAATGTGTTCTGCACCGACAATATGTTTTTGATGCCTGAAGATACGCTAAAATGTTTAAACTTTTATGGTAGATTTTATGTGGTGGTAATGTTAATATCTTTATTTGAGTGAAGTTTATGTTGAGTTCATTCTTATGGCATTTTTCTTAATGTTGTGATCATTACTAATGGGCTAAGGCCACCTCAAGGAGAATGTTGATGGTCGCATGGCTCAAATTTTCCGTGCCACACTATATGTTATAATAATGTTGGGGCAATATCCCTATTGGGCACACAAAAAAATTGGTCGGTGCCTTTTATGTCTTAAACAAATATGCATAAAACTCGAAATAATGGTTTATGTAATTATGATGGTTCTCTTAGCAAAGGAACTTTGTTCAGGGAATTTGTTTTCCAAAGGTCACGTGATCTTATAATTTGGAGAGTTCTATGATGATTAATATTAATGACATTACCACTTTGAATGTCATCTATATTATTGATCTTAATTCCAATAGCATTTTCATTAAGAACTAAATGACAAATTTAATACTTATGTTTAATGTTATTATCAATGTCAACATTTGTGCCAAAAGGTTTCCTTGTGTCTGATGATGTTACTTTATTGATAATGTTGGTATTAATTTAGCCAATGTTCTTGATTATCATTATGTGATTTTATGCATCTCTAATCAACATGGAACCAACAAGAAGTTTTTATTATAGATATAATGAGAAAATATGAAAGTGTAATCATGCCCTTAATCATATTTTGATGTTGGTGACAAAATACATATAGGAGACTAATTATGGTCGCTAAGTGAATACACATGGTATTAGTCTCCTTGGCATCATTATGTAGGGATCATGGACACATCAAACGGGATATGAATCAAGAAGATGACAATAAGAGAAGAAACATAGACTCTTTTACATAAATTTTGAGTTATAAGGATCCCCCACTATTAAGAGGGGATCCAAGTGATATGTTCAAGGTTTGCTCAAGTGTCAACATCATGTCACTATCAAACTACATGTACTATAACGCCCCTATAATTAAGCTATAGTGATTTCACCCTAATGATTCTATGCCATCTTATTTTGCTAAGCTTACTGCCCCTTGATAAAAAAATCAAACTCAAATTGCATTTCAAATTATTATGTATTCAAACAATAAAACAAAAATGTTGGTGTTGTTGCAAATATTCACTAAGTAATTGTCATGAAGAAACCAACATCATTTGAACTATTTAAATGCCCTTAATATCATTTAAATATAACCATCAACATTAAATAGTCCATTCAATTTTAAAAAATATTTAAAATTTTGAAAATAAATTGAAACTTGGTGGGCGAGCTCAAAACATTGCCTACAATTTATGTGACAAGTTTCATCTACAACTAAAATCATTTGGTATTAAAAGAAAATGCAAAATAGTAAAGAAATGATAAACACAAATAAAAGAAAAGAAAAATAGCAAAGACCCACTCTGCACTTGGGCCATTAGTGCACAGTGTGGCCGGGCCCAGCCCACCCGGGTCGTCCCCTACTGCTATTCACAAAGGCGAGGTGGACTCAGTGCGGCAGCCCATGGCCACATGTCGGCCATCCAGACCTCCCCGCGGCGCCTGTAGGGCCCCCGCGCCCCCCGTGTTGAACCCTATCTCACCATCTTCCCCTTCCGCACTGCTTTTATTTTCTCCCACACGAACCCGATGCCGCCTTCACCAAGGATGACCTCCTCCGCGTGGCCACCAAGCTCCTCCTCGTCTGAGATCATATCTAGGAGCTTCGTCGTCGTCGCCCACGTCGCCTGCGACCACGAGCTCAAGTCGGGAGCCCCTACATCGCAGGGATAGACGTTGTCTTCAAGCTCTGCCTTGCTGCTCGCCGACCGGAGCCTCGCCAAGCCCGCTTTGCACCTCTATAGTCTCAATATGAGCCCCACCGTCTTTCCCCTCTATCTTTTTGCTCGCATGCGCCCCCTAGGTAGCTCCCTGGCCATAGACGGTGCTCTTCGCTGCCATCAACATCACCACCGCAACCACTACTTGCCAAGGTTGCGTTCGAGCACCACATCGAGCTCCTGGAGCTCCCACGAACCCAACACACCGTCCGTTCGCCTTGTCGTGCTCTGCAGCCTCGCCAGCATCCACTACTAGGGAAAACCCTAGTAGTAGCGCGTGTTTGAAGCCTATCAGTAGCGCGGGTTACATCGCTACTAGTAAGGCGCTACAACTAAAGGTTAGCAGTAGCGTGGGCTGGACCGCGCTACTGCTACATCGACTTAGTAGCAGCGCTCTCCAAAATGGGCGCTACTGGTAATTAGTAGTAGCGCTTCTACTAGCACGCACTGCTACTATTATTCCATATTTCTTTTTTATTTCATGTTGTATTCATGCATCTTTATACAAGTTTTCATACCGCAGCAATTTAGAGAATGATTTTACATCATAATGAGTCAATACATCAGTGGGAGAAAGAACCATGGACTAGTTTCAAGTGGATGGACATCCACTTGAAACTAATCCACGGTTCTTTCACCCAATGATATAATAAATATCATCATCATCATCATCATATCATTAACAACTTATCATCATAACACATCATTGTCATATAACACCTCCTCATGATCATCGTTTTCATCAATGAGACATCACATACAAGTTGGTCATTAGACATAATCACAACTACTCATCATCATCAACTCTCATAAATATATTGTACCTCATAACCTACTACATTCTCTTAGGACCTACTATATTTTCTTGGGTAAAATAGCATAAAACAAGATAGCCCCTAACTCTCCATTATGGAGAATGGAGATAATCCTGTCTCCAATTCTTGCCTTTCGCGCAATGTTGCTTCCAAGAACCTCCTTACAAATGTCCATACATTTCTTCCATTCTTTGATTATCATGTGTTCACCGTTCTTAGAAATCCGGTATGCACATGTGAGATTCGCAGGGCGACCTGACTGTATGTTCAAAACATCTAGGCGACCATTCTGATACATCAAATGAGGCACATAATCCATCAGGATTTTCTGTTGAAAAACATAGTAATAACTTCGTGGTTAGCAATGTAGTTCAGTTTTAGAAGTATGCAAAAGATACATGGACGCCGTAATAGTAAAAAATCTTACCAAGAAATCTCCATGGAAGTTATCGTTGCTCAACACGTGCACTAGTGGCACGTATTCACCATAATTTGAAGGAGTTTGATAAAATGCATTGTAATTCTCAATGTCAGTACAATATGCGACCAGATGATTTTTCTCTTGATAAGTTAACTCAGAGCCATCGGTGTAGTTGGTTCTGTCTACCATCTTCCACACACTCTTTGAAGCATGAAAATAAGCTATCAATGGAAATAAGCTGTCAACTATTTTGAAATAAACAATATAAATTACGTAATAACTATGTTTGAGAAACTCACATAGCGGTAGAATTGGAAGCGTATCAATAAGAACCCAAATGTCCAAATTATCTTGGTCGATGTCAGGATAACCAAGATCCATGGTGACAAACATACCCTCTTGAAAATCATACATCTTGCAAAGTGCTTCCCAACCCGGGCAACCAAAATTGGATACGCTCTCAGAATTGCATAGATTTACCTCAAAATCCATATCATGATGGGTCCTTAGGTTAATTTTCTTTGTTTCATTCCTCTCATGATCCTCAAAACTCATCCTCTCCAAGACATAGCATCTTGCATGGCATGGGATAAGCTAGTCGAATTGTAAAAGACGAAAATTACACGTTGAAGTAGTAGAAGTTGAGCTTAATTACGAAAAAAATACTTAGCGTCGTAGCGTACCATTTCACAATCGAACGCCTCCTCGAGCTTAATGCTGAAGCACCGATCGTCATCCAGGTGAGGCCTGTCGCCGAAACCCCGGTTGTCGCCGCACCAGGAGCACTCCCCGGGACCTTCTTCGTCCGACGACATTTCCTATGTTCATAATTCAAAGATTAAACTTGTACAATTAAATATATGTACTACAAAAACTGAATTAGATCATTATTATTCATCATGGGCTGACTATGGGTCTGTCGAGTCTTCTCTTGAAAACTCTCAGCTCACTTGGTGTATATATTTGACCGTCGGTGATGGTAGCTCCTCCTTTCGTTCTCGAGTGCATTACACCAAGTTGTCTAGCACAAGGGAACGAAGGAGAAGCTACCCCCACGACAACAATCAAGATTATTCGTCCTCTCATATATGGTGGATACTCTCCTTCACTAATTCCTCTCTGACATTTGTGACCGTCGATGATGGTCGTTACTCCTCCTTCCCCTAGTGCATAACAAAGGTCTAGCGCACGGAGAAGAAGGAGAAAAGACCCCCACTACAACAGTCGGGATTCTTCGGCCTCGACAGTCTTATAGTCAACCCTAAAAATCGTATAATTATCTTTATAGAAAATCCAGACCACTCGATATTTCCTACATATTCTAGCACAAGTCATGCCAAAATTCACGGAAAATTCCGGCATGACCTTTGCAAAAACAGGACATACCAAGCGCCTGAA